TCTCTGTCCCGCTTATTCAATCACATTTTATCCAGGTGAAGGGATTTTGCATATGCAATGATTGGTTTATCTTCAGTCAATCCAAAATCTCCATGCGGGGTGGGGCTGGCTCGGTCCCACCCAGGACCTTTGAAAGAGGCCAGACCCGCACCGGCTTCAGACAGGCAGAGGCAGAGAGGGGCAAACACATTCCCGCACCCGGCACCTCCCAGCTCCTGGATTCCACGGGGAAGAGCAAGCGCCCGCTCTCTGTCAACCCAGGACTGGGCTCCGCAGCTGCGGTGAGAAGAATCCCAGGAGGAAGCTCAGGAGTAACCGTGGAGGTAAGTCGGAGGCAGCTGGCTTCCCGTGTTTCACGGGAGCAAGGCTGGATCGTCCCCACAGGAAGTTTTTGTAGCCGTTGAAACGTGCGCCGTTCTTTACAGATGTAACTCGCTCCCGCGGTAAGCCTGATGGAGGTGACATCGCTCTGTCATCTCACAGCGAGGCAGACCGAGGCACGCACGGCCGCTGCCTTGTGCAGGGACCCGGAGGGGTGCTTCCCCGAGCCGGGAAAACCAGCGCTGCGACTGCCGCGTCTGCGACCTGCGCAGCTGTCCTGTGCCGCTTGTCACTTCATGGTTTATCCCTCGCAAACTCCCGATCTTAATGGGACTGTGTGTCTGCTTGAGAGTCCATCTTACTTATTCATTTTTCTCCTCCGTAAGCTCCGTTTGGGTTCTTTGTATCTTCCTACTCGCTTACGCTCCTGCTTCCGCCACGTGCTCGGCCATAGGCAACCTCTCCCGCTGTTCAAAGTCTTGCTCCGCTAATTCCATCATCTGTGTCACTTCTGGAATTTCTACTGGTGGTGAATTGTGTTTCTCTGTTGTTGCATTTTACATGATTAGGTGCTAACTTTAACTAATGTTGGGCTTGTTCTCTGATGCTGTTAAATTACCTGGAGATGGACTGATGCTTTATAGGTTTTTGGGGTTTTTTTTGAGACAGAGTCTCACTCTGTTGCCCGGGCTAGAGTGCCGTGGCGTCAGCCTAGCTCGCAGCAACCTCAAACTCCTGGGCTCAAGTGGTCCTCCTGCCTCAGCCTCCCGAGTAGCTGGGACTGCAGGTGCGCACCACCACGCCCAGCTAATTTTTCCATTTTTAGTAGAGACGGGGGTCTCCCTCTTGCTCAGGCTGGTCTTGAACTCCTGACCTCTAGAGATCCTCCCTCCTCGGCCTCCCAGAGGGCTAGGATTACAGGTGTGAGCCACCACGCCCGGCCCACCTTCTTGTTCTAAGGCCACCCCAATCCTCCCCTGAGGACTCTGCCTCCTCTTCAACCCCTTCAAGTAATGGCTCAACTTTTTCCATCTCTGCGCCTGGAGCTCAGGGTCCCATTGCTCCTTACAGACTCCTTTCTGAAAAAACACCTTGTCTTATTTCACTGTCATCTTCCCACCCTAGAGGAACATCTCCCCACCATATCCTATGATGTTAGCTCCTGGCTCACTGTCACCCTCTCTAATACCAATCTGTCTTATTTTTATACATACATCGGTGATTCTTTAACACTCTAACAGATTAATACTTTGAGCTCCTCTTCTCCAAAGATCTTACCCTCTGTTCTTCCTTAGCCACTCAGTCCCATGGTCACACCCAAGTCCTGGTCATTTCCAGGAGCCCCCGCCTTCCGCACTCTGCATTTTAGGCAGCCGATTCTCTCGTTCATGAGGGCTGCTGCTAGTCACTACAGCACCCTGTGCAAATCAGGAAAAGACACCCCTCCCTGTGTGCAGACACAGCCGCAGCAAGCCTCACTGGCCAACCCGTCCGCTCAGTTCAATCCCCCCAGATGGCTGTTTGCATTGAGAAAACAAAGGAAGAGAAAAAGGGAAAGAAAAGCAATTTTTCGTTGGAAGGAATTGATTACTTAGATTGTCTCGGAATTTAAAAATTTTTAGATTTCCAAAGCATTTTCACATTTGTCCAAGTTGGTTGAATGCCATTATTCTTAGAGCAATTATTCCAGAAAGGCACGGATATAGGTGTGTTTGTATATGCATAGAGTGTCTTTAGGATATATGAAAAGTGCTGAAAGTGGCTGGCCACAGGAAAGGCAACCAAGGGACTAGACCTAGTGATAGGAAAGAGACTTATTTAATATTGAATAGTTTTAAAATA